CCGCGTAAGTAGAGGTGTGGTTATTAACCGACCGAAATATACTTAGGGCTTGAGTAAAAGGGTATTCCGGGAAGTAAATTATGTTACGATTTATATCACCGTCTATCACGCAAAAAAAGTCGAATCAGTGCCGATTTTATCATAAATATCAATGGATCAAAAGTGAGCTCTTAATGGTCCTCGATACTGTAGCTTTTCGCCTAGTTCTGTCCTTTGAGTTCAGAATACGGTAATGACTCTTCATTGTACGAATATTATACTTCAAGCATACCTAGATTTACCCAAACATGCTCGATTATAGCATAATATAAAATGAAAAATATCAATTTTACTTGACCTTGCAGTAGTTGTTGTATAGAAGTGGGCTGTTAATAACAAGTCAGAAAAGGATTAAAAATAGTTTGTGGGTCAATCGAAAGCCAGTGATAAGTATATATATATATATATATATATATATATATATATATATATATATATATATATATATATATATATATATAGTCCATTAGTAAATGCCCACATTTATCGTTTCTTTAGTCTCCGTCAGACATAACATATTCCTTGTTACTAATCTCTACTCCCTAGAATAAAGCTCCACAACTGTATTAGGAAATTGATGTGATAATTCAGCTTATCGTAAAATAAAGCTCAATGTATGTGGTAGAGATATGACATCCAGTCTTCGAGGCCAGACTCTATCTTCATCAATTACTCGTCAGAAAAACTGCCTCACTAAACTTCAGCTCCTCAGGAAAAAACCAATTAGGTCATCATGTCATCCTGTATTGTCACGACAGATCTACCTGATAAACGTATTCAATGTAAAACCTTTCGCTAAACCGATTATGATACTGTCAGAGTAGAACTCGGAAGATGTTCTGGTAGAGCGAACAAATCTCTCCCGCTGTTGAATTGTGGCGACAATTATTTTCAAGAGATAAGTAGCCTCGTAAGTCTTTCATAATGATCCTGACCCCTCAAGATTTATTGTATTCATTCTCAGCTGTAAATGCTCATTCAAGCATCTACCCCACATTAAATTTGGATACATCGTTAAGTGACCGTTTAGGAATGCCAGTCTGTTATTTTATAAACTACCCCATAAATATGTACGCACATCCTTTTTTCTTCGACATTTGATTTAACTGGCTTTAGGATCCTCAAGAAAAGGATGTAATGAACAACAGTGTTGGCAAGAATTGTAAATCCATGGCATCTTTAAAATAATTCTGCAGTCATAAGTATACTCTACTACGATTCATCGGTGTGTGTGGCATTTTTCCTAGCTTATGATTCCTTTGTACTTGAAAATACCACTACGAACTCCAAATATAATACGTTCGTCTGTACTCATCTAGTTTTGTCTGGATTAGGTTTCACTATTTGGGGAATTCCTAATTAGTACATTAATTCAAATACTTCCGTAATCTCCCTCCTTGAGGAAGACTGTTGGGGACTTGATGCGAAGCAGAGAAAGCTTAGTCTATCTTACTATGATGCTTACCGTCTAACAAATAAAAAATAATGGTACTGTCAATAGATTCAACGACTCCTTCCAATCATGCTGGTGTATGTTCACGAACTCGCAGGGACAAAGCCCTCTGAGTAAAGACTGTACAACTAGCTCCACAGAAGCAGTCGAGTTAGTATACACAGATTAGCTAACTTCGAAGTCACATCTGGCGGTCAGCACCTAGCGTGGATAAACCCTTCGACGTATCAAAGTAATATGCCTGCTCTAAAGACTGTATAACACAAAGAACATTAGTACAGAAATATACTAGTAAGAATGAGTAAAGAGTATGAGTACAGAGAGACCACCACCTCATGACCCAGTCCATGGAACACGACCAACTGATGAGCGTTGTTTGTCCTTGGCCTTGACATGGATCGATGATATGTTCGATATTCAGTGACCCGACTAACCAACCCAAATTTATACAGACACACAGTTACTCAGGAGTAATCGTAAGCCAACACTCTAGAACTAATGCACACTGACGTGTGATAGCTGCGATGTCAACGTTAAAACATTTTTGACTTTGTATTCAGTAAGCTCATGAAAAGGTTTAATGAACCACAAATAAGCTAGTTCCTGGAAAAGGCAGAGCTGTTGTATGATGCTCGACCGGCTAAAATGAACGTATTTCCATTGTCGTATCAGAGAAACAGAGGGGACTTGATTACGATGATGATAAATTTGCATCTGATATGCCCCCATGCGTCTTGTCATCCAAAACTGAAAATTTACGTGAACACTTTTCAAAAGTCTACAAGTTTAGAACAGATTACATATCGGCATACTGTCGACTTTCCCGTCGAATCATCAATATATGACATTCATTACTTCAGCACCTAGTTGAAGCCTCATCTATAGGAGCTTTCAAAATAAAGTTGGATCAACTGAGAGACCACTATTACCAGGATTTATAAAAATCATCCAGCCTTCTGTTCTTTCTAGACTGAAACCGAAATCATTCGGATTGGCGATATTTCAAAATGAGTGCTTTAGTTTTTCTTTATCGCCATCTACACTGTTACTTACTTACGTCTGTTACTCCTAATGGAGCATAGGCCGCCGACCAGTATTCTCCAACCCACTCTGTCATGGGCTTTCCTTTCCACTTCTGCCCAATGTAAGTTCATCCTTCTCATGTCTGTTTCCATTTCTCGACGTAATGTGTTCTTTGGTCTTCCTCTTCTCCTTTGGCCTTAAGAATTCCATATGAGTGCTTGCCTTGTGACACAGTTGAGTGCTTTACTCAATGTTTGTCCAATCCATTTCCAGCACTTCTTCCTATTTTCTTCCTCGGCTGGGATCTGGTTTGTTCTCTTCCACAGTAGGTTGTTGCTGATAGTGTCTGGCCAACAGATCAAAAGTATTTTGCGAAGACAGCTGTTAATAAAGTTTTGTATCATCTGGATGATGGGTTTCGTAGTTCTCCAAGTTTCCGTTCCATACACTAGAACTATTCTGACATCTGTATTGAAAATTCTGACCTTGGTGTTGGTTGACAGTTGTTTTGAGTTCCCGATGTTCTTCAGTTGTAAATATGCTGCTCTTGCTTTACCAATCCGCGCTTTCACATCTGTAGCAGACCCACCATGTTCATCAATGATGCTGCTCAAACATGTACAGAATTTTACATCTTCCAAATCTTTTCTGTCAATTGTGATTGGATTGGTGCATGTTGTGTTGTATCGGAGAATCCTGCTTTTCCGTTTGTGTATATTGAGACCTACTGCTGCTGAGGCTTCTGCTACACTGGTCGTCTTCTCCTTCATTTGTTGTTGCGTTTGGGATAGAAGGGCCAGATCATTTGCGAAGTCTAGGTCGTCCAAGTGCATCCTAGATGTCCACTGTATCCCGCTCTTCCCTTCAGATGTTGACATCTTCATGATCCAGTCGACCACTAGGAGAAAGAGAAAGGGTGAGAGTAAGCAACCTTGCCTGACACCTGTCTTTACCTCGAATGACTCTGTCAATTATCCTCCATGCACGATTTTGCATTTTAATCACCATAGGAATTCCGTATGATGTTGACTATCTTCTGAGGCACGCCGTGGTGTCGAAGAAGCTTCCATAGTGTTGTTCTGTATCTACACTGTCCTGTGGACATAATAGTTTGTGTTGCCGTTTAATCAACTTTAATTTGTATTGAAGAGATGCAAAGCCATGAAAATGTAAGCTATTATCTGTCCATGTTTTTTCCCAAATACACTAGCTTTTATAGGACTGTCTGTTCTTTTAGAAATCAGGACATCAAGGAAAACCATACTACTGTCGTTCTGCACTTCACTGGTGAGGCAATGGCAGACTATTATGTGATATTTTTATCCAGTAGCCTTTTTCAAGCGAAGGACTAGACCGATATACGAAAATTCATTATCAGCTGTTCACTGTGGACCTTGATCTAGACAAAGTGCTAGGGGGCCCTAGCGATTTAAAAATGTAAAAATCAACTGTAACGGATGAACTACACCACAAAATCTTGAGACAAGTCGCACGATACATTGCTGTCTCATCGATTATGATATTCAATATGTTAGTTATACAAGATAGTCCAACTACTTACTGCAAAGATGCAAACATTACTTTAAGTCACAAAACAGGATCACGAAAAATTCCATCAAATTACCGACTTGTCAGTCTTACTAATGTTGTAGTTAATTACTAGAAAAAACAATCAGAAAGACCAGGATAACATTCGTAGAAACAAACAACTTGTTGAACAGCAAAAAAATGATGGTGGAGAAAAGTTTTTGCTCAACTAGATGATTTAGGTGGAGTTTTGTCATATGAGCTTGATAGTTTGATCGTGATGCTTTCGTTATCCTTCACCATCATCATAAACATGATATAGAAGTGAAGTGTTCGAATTTCTTCACATACGACTCGCAGCTTGTCATATCGACCTCAATTTTGACTGTTTATTTCTTACATGTGACCTGTTATTGTCTACTTCTTCAATTTTATTTTATCTCCTTTAATTTGACTATTGGTCCGTACTCTGATTTTTTTGATCATTTGAAAAAATGCATCGGTTTCAGAACTGTCTGTTGATTGTTGTTTGACAAGGGCCTCAGGATTCTTAAACTTCTCTGGTGGTTTTTTTTACCTCTTTTCAAGATTTAAACATTTTCCCGGCCAGATCACTTTACATTGTCCTGAGACGGATTATGATGTAATCTGATCATGATGTACAGATTATCAAGAAATCATTTGGATGGAGCATTTCCTCTCTTCCTCCTGGATGAGAACGACTCAAAGGACGTACCAAGCGAGAACGAAAGCCAGGAATGGACAAAATCTCGGTGACATGCAAGTTTTCACACCGACTCATTAATTCTTGGAACTAGTTACCCGAAGAATTGGTGTCCGCCCCTACAACCCACTTATTCAAGAGAAGACCAAAATCACTAGAAAAGTACTAGCGAAGGCTGTAGTTCTTTTGTTCTAAATACATGAATCTGAATGTGAACTCAGTTGTTTATTGTCCATTTAACGCTAGCTGAAGGTATCGTTCAAGGGTGTGTTGGAGCGCAATAAATAAGATTTTCGCATGTGTAGGTCATCAGTAGTTTCGTCATTTAAGTTTAGAACATCTCCCTATTGTTTCGACTTTGATGTAGCAAGCAAATCTGTCTAAAAATTAATTAATGACGTTGAGATAATTTCATGTTATTTTTAGTTTCCAAAAATTATGATTGGCTTGTCGAGCTACATCAGTTATATCAGTAGATACCTGTGGAAAGTTACAGCTTTTTGTAAACTAGGCTGTCACTTATATAATTGATATCATGTGCTCAATCCATGCACTATTGTTGCATGGTGTTTCATTATATCACACAAAGTCCTGACCAACGTCACTTAAACAGGAAGAATTATATACAATTTATAGTTATTTATTTTTAAGGAAGTACAACATCCTTACAAATTTTTAAAAATGTATGTGTTGGTGTGCGATTTGAGATTACAGTACACTTGGTTTTTCCCTACTTTCTGAAATGCGCAAGTTTCGTTGCACCATTGTATAAACTCTTGACATTTCATACTGTCTCGTTATGTCTCGTTATGGTTTGCAGCAAACCTTCAGAATAAAAGGCCTAAAATAAATTCGAGGAGTTCTTAAGCTTGTAAAAATAATACAAAGGAATTGTCAATGGTATTTTTTTATACTTTAATCAACGTCAGTCCAATCAAACTAGTTTGTTGGCTTTGATAAACATTAACGACGGTCACCGAAATATTACAATCTCTACTGACATGTTTTAAGTTTAAAATTGTTGACTAACACCTCGGGATGTTGTGAAAGCGGCTATGTAGAAGTTCCAGTGTGGGTCAGTGCTTTTCTGTATTTTTGGATGACCGCGTCCACTTCATATGTATGCCTCAGAGGTGCCATCTGTTCTTTTCCTCAGCGTCTCAACGCCAGTGATGCATTCCTGAGTAGTGAAGCTTACGATTCTCATGAGTCCATATATTATGTTGTTCATTAAGTTTGATTCTTAAACACTAAGGAGAATCTGCGCATTAACTAGAATGTAAGCTTATAGCATGTTGGCTTGTCAAAATACTCGTAGTTGTTTTACTACAGATATTGATGTGATTATAATACACAAAACGGCCGTGGAAATAATACATTTTTACCAAATTATTTTCAGAATCGCTATCACGTGCTTTAATTTATGTATATTGAGACCATTCCGTAAATTCGATTAGGATAGAAAACCTGTCTGTCATAGCTAATCGGATTATTTTTGGGACCGATATAGGATTTAGCACTTGTACGCTCGGTTTCATTAATGTCTTTTATGACTGGTGTACGTAATGTGACTAAAGCAATATTTAGCCTACGAATCTTTTATATGCCAACTTTAGTGACATTCCGTTAGTATTTTATCTTCTATCGGCTCGTCAGGCTTTTCCTTCATGGTTCTGTGTAACGCATAAATATTCTAAACGAAGACTAGGTTAATAAACGTTGTCTCTCCCATTTATAATACAATAGACCGGTTCGTGTCGTGTACGAATTTTTCGTATTTACAGGTAAATGTAACTGCATTTTCTGTTTTTTAATTTTATTACAGCTTAAAATACCAATTTAAATACTCAGAGTTAAACTTCGGTCAAATGTCAAAGCTTCTTTTATTAACACACCCACGCCAGATTATACTTCCTTGTGATGAAGCTGCCACTCGTTCTGTCATTTGCTATTTGTCTCGAAGTAGATTACCATTCCATGTTGATCATATTTTAAACGCTGATTCATGTTCTCCTGATCACTTACTCCCTGTTACTATTCTTAATGGCTCCATTGTGACTGGTTACACTTCTTTGTGTCTGCGTTTGAGTATATTAAAAGCCAATAAGGATGTTAACCTTAATGGTTCTAAACTTATTTCACGCAGTTTACGACATTCTTACTTATTTTGGATTTCTGATACATTACGGAATGTAATGCTTTATTTCACCTGGTTTCATGAATCTACCTATTTGAATTTGACTTACGAACGTCTTAAATCTTCTACACCGCGTTTGCTAACTAGATTTATTGCCAAACGAAAACGACAACAACATCTTCGTTTTTTGGAATCTATTGGTTGGGACAAAATGAGTACAAGTGATATCCTGAAAGATATGGAAGCACTTTGTGTCAGTATTGTTGAACTACTTGGTAATGGCCCATTTCTATTTGGACGTAGTACACCTGGGAAAGTTGATGCCCTTTTGTATGGACATTGGACTGTATTTTGCGAGTTTTCAGAATATTTCATTTCATTAAAACCTGTTTTAGATAAATATCCAGCTATCAGCGATCTTATCAAGCGTGTTGCTGAAATATGTGATCAACCGCTTAGTTGTAATTAAAAATATTATAAGCTAATTTTCGATTCATTAGTGTACATAATACTTATTTAAAGAAACTATTTATGTATCTAGTATTTTAAATACAAACATTCAGAAAATTGTTTTTTTTTCAGTTTACTTTCAGAACTGTATGTTCATGAAAAAATATATAAAGCTGTATGTTATTTTTGTTGCTGAATTTATTATTGTTAAGTCTTCAGTTTACTTCTTTATTTGGTAAATGCTTGCATGACTATTAACCAGGCTGTTGAAAACTGGAGTATTTTTGTGATCAAGCATTTGGAAATTCTGTTTTCCACTAAATCGATGCATATTCAAATCAGAGTTTGTTTATTATTTAAGTATCATTACCAAAATTGGACTTCGTTTGAAATAAACTGAACATTCGGCAGAGTATATTTGATAATAATATATTTGTGATATTCAATGAGTGAAAATGAGAAATTTTGGCGTTTCGTGTATCACTTCCTCAGATAGTAAATAAATAAGTAAACTAATCGAATTAGCACAAGCTTGTTTTAGTTTTGGCAATGAATTTATACCTTTGGTTTCAAAAAATATATCTATCGAGATCATCAAGTTGTGTTACTGGCATAAATTTTCGTGTAATTATTAAGATTATTGATATTGGTTTACGTGTATCTGCTACATAGTCGTATATTTTAATGCATGAATCTCTATACAATGGGTATGTTTTTATATGACAACACTTTTACTCTCCACTTATGGTCAAAAGCGTGACTGTGTGAAGCTACCACTGACACAATTGACCCAAACTAACATATTCAGGGTTTGACTAAACTTAGTAACTCACGAAACTCTAAATCTATCCTAAGTAAGTTGGTCCTTTGCAGCTTGTTAACTGTTTGCAGGTCCGTTTATATTGATTTAGGTTACACGTACTAAATACAGGAAGAATCTTATGAAAATGTGACCAAGCTTGAAACCCGGGTTTAGCTAGTTTTCATCCGAAATCTTTGCTAAGTTACCTTAAAAATCTACTAATGCTAAAGGATATTTTCAAATATCTATTAATTGAGCAATAATAAATGAACTTATGGACATACCATTCGTTTACTTAATGTATTATAAAGTATAAAATATATTCTCTAGTTGCATCCTACGTATTTTATTAGACTTAATCTTTTCTGACCGTTGCAGCTAAATCTAGGTAAAATGTATTATAATATACAAAATATCACCTTTTTTCATGAACACTAATCCTTGAATATCTTTAATTTCAAAAACTGTGACTACAGAGTTACTGTTATTGGTTATTTATATCAAGAGCTTCAACATAATGAAATAATTAATAACAATATAGTCCTACGTCTAGCCTGCCTGCTTCACTTCCAATACACAGCTACTTAGCTGCATATGCTCGTTATGCTGACATCGAGTAAGAATTCACAATTCTTAAATCTCCCACTACCTTGTCTTTAGTTACCCACAATATTTTTATTTTCTTATCTTAGATTTTTAGTGTTCCATAGTGCATCGTAATAAACAGTCGTTATTTTCTGTTTGTTTTTATGTATTTTAAACCCACAACTATGTTTTTTTTGTAGCAACATGGTTGTCGATTTCACTTACTCCCTTGTCGAAACTCGACAATTAATGAAAACTAAAATTGTTGCATGTATATGGTCGCCGAAGACGGACTTGATTGCTTTAGGTTCAGAAAGTGGTTGTGTTTCTGTGCACAGGTAAATTTTGAATAATGCCTATCATTGCGTGTGACGCTTTTATAATTTATCGACGATTTGGTAGGAACTTAGTGGTCTGAAATTTTGTTTAACATTTAAGTCATAATCGACTATTTGAGTAAACGCAGTCTAATTCCTGTCGAAATATTCGGTTTATCCTACTATAGGTGTGACAGTTTCTACTTATGAAATTATGTGATTTCTAAATCAATCGAAATTATTCACTGGAATTCTGTTAGGGAATAAGTGAAACCTACTGTCTGAAGTTACATCATTGTATCCTTTAACATCTGATAAACTGTGTACCACATTTCAATTACAGTAGGAAACTACAAGCATTATAATTCGCACTACATAACAATCGGATCGGTAGGTGGTTCAGACTATATGATTCGCTTAGTGAGTGATCACATTTACGCTGTCACACTTATGTGCTGATGTGTGACTGATACATTCTATTCAGTTTCTTAATGTCTTAAGTCATTTTTCCATGACCCAAGTTAAGATTTCGCAGTTATTTCTTGTTAGAAAGGAGTAACCATGCAGTTCAAAAAATGTTACATTTGTCAGTTGAAGCTGTTTTATGCTATAGTACGCTAATGTTTATAACTAGACTGATTTATCCATTAACTGATATCAAGCGGTACCTAGTTCAGTTTATTCAAATATGACTTTTGGTCAATCCGAGTGAAGCATATGAAACCAATTTATTAAGGGATAGTTTTTGATCTATTTCCGGTGCAAAATGAATCCTTATTTGAAGTCTTTCTCCGCTTCATTGCATCAATCCATATTTGTCTTTGGTCAGTTATAACGAGTAGTGTCGGGGATGGAATAAATTGGGACATGTCATTATCAGTTAATGAAGTGAATTCATTGTTTGTATAACGTCTGTAACAATATAAAGACTGGTATCACAAGTTTACTTTAATACTAAATGCAAAGTTTTCTCAGTTTTCACTTGGTCAGCAACAGTGAACGCAACTTCATAGTTAGTCACCAATTTTGACTTCAATCTGAAATTTGGAATAAGATTCAGTGCTCATTGTGGCAGGAAGGAAGATTTATTTAAGATTGAAATAAATGAACCTATAGCGTTTTGAAAGTTCTTACTCTCTTCAAAAAGTCGTTGAACCAACCCGCATTTTTTAATTATTTTTCTATTCTAATCCTAGGTTAGTGAAAAATATTTATTTATGAATAGTTATATTGTAGGCAAATAATAAGTCTACATAGTTGGAGTAATTCGTCTTGAACTAAGTGCAATAACTTCTAGCTTCAACCCCAATATTTTGATACTCCAGTTCCCTTTCGTCACATAGCCCTAGCTCTTCTGAAATAAAACCTTACATAGAAGATTCTATCTTGTAGGAGTAAACTAAACTGTAATCAAGTAGTTTTTGTGGGGGAGGGGTAGCCTACATTCTCAATCACAGGTCAATCATTATTGTATGATATTTCTGTAATTCGTCGAAAGAAAAGGTATTGGAGAAAGTGGTTAAATTCATTTTCTATGTACGCTCCTGAATGTTATGCATCCTTATATCAAATTGATCGTGCCTGTAAACTGGCATAAATTCTGTAATTATTATTTTCAGAATATATAAATTATTATCCTGTCATTGCATTCATTCATATCGACCAGACCGCTATATTCTGAAAACCATAAATTCGGTTGATTAAATTACATCTGCTGTTAAATATAAAATTATACATAAGTTTATGTTTGTATATTTTTCTTGTCTAACGAAATTTTTCTCTATTATTACACTTATCTTCGGTTCCATCTTATTTGTTTTTACTTTTATCTAGGTATAAAATGACATGTATTTGGGAGTGTGATAAATCAGATCTCGGCAGTGTATCTAATTTGACTTGGAGACCGGATGGCAAAATATTGACAGCTGCATTCTCATCTGGTAAAGTATGCTTCTTTGTTGTTGGTGATGGATTCGTTTTTCATGAACTACAATTTCCCGGTACAATTGATTATCTTCTATGGACCAATTATCAAAGTCCAACTACAAACACCAATAATAGTAATTCAGAGATTAACTATCTTAAGAATAATGTAGCTACATACTTTCCAGATGTGAAGCATTTATCTATGTTTAAATCGTATGAACTTGTTGTTATTTAGTAATACGATGATTAAATCTATTTTTTCCTTACAGTGATGTGAACTTCTCATCTTCTGATGTTTGTAAATATGCACAATTACTTAGAGATATCGATGGCAACAAGTAGTTTGCAACATATTTATCCTAAATTTATTGAAATTTATTTGTGATTAGTTTTCCGATACTTACAGTTTATTCGAAAAATACAGTTTATTTTTACGGGTTCGGGGTATTCGAAATTGCTGCTTATAATTTACATTCAGTTGATGATACATTGAATCATACTGATACATCCAAGGTACTCATTATTATAATTGTGATTATTATTTATTTAATAAATATTCATTTCCTTTTAGCTTGTCAGTTGCCATTTATCAGCTGAACAAAATATACTTTTAATAACTGAGTCGTTTCTTAATGTCGACGGACAATTTAATGTGGTCTGCCGTAAGGTGAGTTGAAAATTATAGTACATACATCATACTACTTATAAGGAGTAAAACGTGTCATCAACGAAAATATAAGATCAGTTTAGGGGTTGTGGAGATTGTTAACTTTTTGATTGAGATCATGAACCGATTGATGTTAGACCACCATTGAAGGCCTGGAAGCACTGGACGGCCGTTTCGTCCTATTGGACCACTGAGCCGGCATCTAACGGTGTTAATGTCTAACCTCAACCAATCCACCAAGTTGCACGACCATCTTCCATTGTACTGAGGTCGACACCTGTTTCTATCCGACACAGATTAGCTCCACTGGTCACGGTTTCTTACCAGAACATTAACACCATTGGATACCGGCTCAGTAGTCCCGTAGGTTAAGTGTCCGCAGGCGGGACCGAGGGCCCTGGGTTCGAATCCCGCGAGCGGGACCGTGAATGCGCACTGCTGAGTCCCACAATAAGACGAAACGGCCGTCCAGTGCTTCCAGGCTTTCATTGGTGGTCTAACATCAATTGGTTCGTGATCTCAATCAAAAATATAAGAGTAGACCTTTCTACTATCAGGAATTAAATAGCATTTGTAAATCGATTAACTTTCACAGTTGTCATTACTTGATCTTATACTTACCAATGATGCCTTTGGAGACTATGATTATTTCGTGTTGTTTAATATGATATGGGTTTTGTTACTGAACTCTTAAAAATTCGCTTGTTAGAATTCACTGTTAAAATTTATCCATACTGTAAACCCACTAGTACTCTTTGTTGTTTTTCTAAATTTTCGTTGCTTAGATCCCATGCGATGGATTTCAGAAGTTTGGCTATCA